ACAACCAAACAAATCCATTCACTGTAAGCTTCATCATTAACTCATGTTTATTGTTTGCTTTGTTTACAGGAGAAGAAGAAGATAACCCGCAAACGCAAAGAAGAGAGGAAGAGGTCAAGGAGAAGAAGAATATTTCGCGTGAGTCAGCGAAGAGATAGAGAGAAGAGAAGCAAAGAGGCGTTGTTTGGTGTTTTCAGATTTAGGGTTTCGTTGAAACCCTTTTCTGCCCTTTACCTTATTTGAACCGACCCGGGTTGGGTCCGGTAGATTCATCACCCCGGCCCAACCCATTTTTATTTCTTTTTTTGTTATTTTTAATTTTTTTATTTTATTTTATGTAATAATATATAATATAAAAAAACTAACAAATACTAACTACTAACATTTAATAAATAATATAAAATCAGAAAATATTTAAAAAACGAAAAATATTAAAAATAATGATATAATTTCAAATTTAAAAAATTAATTTAACATTTTAGATAGTTTAGTTTTTTTTGGAATTTAAGTTAATTAATTTACTTTTTAACTAATTCTCTCTTAATTTCCACTTAATCCTTTATTTTCTCAAAACAACAAAATTTGCTCCTTTAAATAATTCACCTTTTTTGTTATTTCAATTAATCACATATCTAATCATTTCTCAAACTTTCCATTCAAACTTAACCAATAACCATGCTTGGCGTGCATTTTCCTATTTCATTATCTTGTTGTATCAATCATCTTTGCTTTAATATTTGCCTGTTTACCAAACTATCTATTTTCGAAGGAAAGGTATTTCATTTGACCGTCGTGTCATTGCCTTTACTTTCAACTTCTCCTAGCCTTAGGACTTGAGTTGTCGTACTCACTCTTAGGCGTCCCGCCGTGGACATTCTTAATCCCTATCCTAGCCTTAGGATTAGGAGTCGTTGTACTCCATGTAAGTTCCCGCCGTGGCATACTTACCTACCCTTTTAATTCAATTTTACAACATAGAATCGGAGTCGCTACACTCCACGTAAGTGCTTCCATATGAACGTTTACGTGCCCCTTGAACCTTGACCATAATCAAGAAGTTCTTTTTTCTCCCTCTTTGAGGGGAACTACGAATACTCTGATTCCATCCCCTACCCAGGATACGTAGGCACAAGATGAAATTTCTTGGCGAGTATACTTAGGACTAACCCCTTAGGTCCTTATCTTTACCTTTAACCCTTTAGCATTACCTTTAACATATAACCATTAACAACAACACATTTTAAACAAGAGGTTCCTATAGAGTACTAGAGAAGTTTAGGATGCTAATACCTTCCCTAAGCTTAACCAATCCTCGTACCCTAGATCTCTCCCCGCATTGTGTTTACAATGCAAAATAGGTTTTTCCTTTATTTAACCTTTCCTTCGGATAAATCAAAGACCGGTTGTGAATCAAGATTGTGATTCAAATTAATCAATAATTTGATATCCTATTCTCACCGCAACAGACGAAAACCGTCGCTTCCCTCCACCAAAATTTGATCGTTTTGAAACTCAAATAGCCACCACAAAACAAATCTTAACTCTCCTCCGCTTTCACGTCTCAAACACATCTTGCAACAACCAAACAAAACCATCTCTAACTTCCGATCTACCACCTACCAACGAAATCTTTGCAGATCCAAAACACCGCGCCATAGCGAGACGAAACCCAAGACGAACAAAGACTGGGAATACGCGAAAGAATACGAGGTGGAAGACTCGAATTCAAGAGAGAGCGATAAATTTGGGCGAGGGAGAGTGACGCGACTTCGTTTGAGTCATCGTCGGCGGCGCGATTGAGAAAGAAGGGTGAGAGAGTGAGCATCAGGTTTTATTCTCTTTTAAATATAAATGGTCAAAAGTCCGTCGGTTAGATAAATATGGTACCTCATCCCACGTTTTTTTTTTCATTTTTTTATTCTTTTTTTGTATTTATTATTTGGTTAATCAAATTCTCATTAATTAGTTTGACTTTTTTATTTTTAGGTTATTTTGGCCATTGGGTTTCAAAGCCTATCATTTTCATGTCTGCACCCATAAAAATATTGTCACACTCATTTGGTACTTTGTTATTTGATAGTTCTTTTTAGATTTTTAGATTTTGTTTTTTGGATTAAGTTTTAGATAATTAACTTAGATTTAATTTTAGGTTTGTAATTTGGTTTTGGATTAATTAGATTCTTTCTTCTTTTTTTTTTAATTAAATTTTAATTTTAGTTTAGGTTATTTCTTTTACTAGAATTTAATTTCGACTTTAATTGATGATTAATCTTTTAATTTTAATTTTGGAAATTAATTTTGACTTAAGTTATTAATTAGAAATTAATCTTGAGTTTAGTCAGATTTTATTTTTAGGAGTTAATATTGAATTAGATTTCAATTTAACTTTTAATTGTCACTTTAATTTTTAATTTTTACATTGGTTAAACTTTAATCATGATGTTAAGCTTGGTTGCGCTTAATTTGTGGGTTTCAATTAATTCTTGATGACCAAATTGTGAATTCTTGACTAATTTTTGGTGACATTTGTGAATATTTTCTTGATGATGCTTGTACATATTTTCTTTGTCCCTGAATATTTCTTGTGCTTGAGCCTTATTTTATGTCTGTTTTATCTTTGTGATTGAGTTGTATAATGTATACTTGTAGATTACTTTGTTTTCACATGTTCTCTTAGGATCTCCTAGTTCGACTTAATTTTCTATTAGGATCGAAATAGGATAGATTCAGTTTCTTAATCTTTGCATGACAACTTTAGGTCTTTCCCTTTTATCCTAACCTTAGGATTAGAGTCGTCGTACTCTATGTGAGTGTCCTGCCATGGACATATCCTTTCCTATTTAACCTAGCCTTAGGTTTAGAGTCGCCGCACTCTATGTAAGTGTCTCACCGTAGACGTTTACTCTTTTCCCTTTGGAACCTTGACCACAGTCAAGAGTTCCTCACCCCTATTGAGGAAAATTACAGTTGCTCTGATTCCATTCCCGTCAGGATACGTAGGCACGAGATGCGATGTCTTGGCGAGCATACTATGTATATACTTTAGATCTTTACCGTAGCACTTTTTCCTTAGCAAGCAACTTTAGCATAACACAAATACTAACAAGAGGTTCCTATAGAGTACTACAAATACTTAGGATGCTAACACTTTCCCTAGGTATAACCAACTCACAAACCTTAGATCTCTTAGTTGTGTTGTTACATGGCGCACTTAGGGTTTTCTTCGATCTTTACCCTTTCCTTTGAATAAATCAAAATTCAGTGGTGAACATCATGATTTGTGATTCAAGTTAATTCGATATCTTGATATCTGATTCTCACTGGAACATGTAGTTATTAGAATTACTTTTACTTTTATATTCTCATAAATGACTTTATAAAATGCCTCTGGTTCATGTATGATTTACCGGTTATTTTATTCATTGAATTTCGTTATCAATATATTCATATTAAATTGCAAAGCTCATAAAACTTATATACAAATTTATATATTTTGATGATATCTTCAATTTTTCATATATATTAAAATTGTTTTCCATGTTGTTATTAATACATTTACTTTTATCGAATAAAATTTAATTTAATAATATAATATAATAATAAGATAATGAAATCACAAATTTCTTAATTAAAAATGTCATTTTAAATCATTTTGCAATTATCAGTTAGTATAACAACTAATATACCAAACACTTAAATTAATTTATCAACTATCAATCATCAGCTATAAGCTATCAGCTACCAGCTAACAAATAGTTTTATCAAATAGAGCCTAAAAACTAGAATCATATGTGTGAGAAAGAGGAAATCGTTTGTTAATGTAAGAGTTTAGGTTGGATGTAAGTTGGATGAAATTTGGATTGCAACATAATACAATTTGATTTGGTTCAATTCGTTTGCAAAATACAAACTGCAAACTGAACCGTACGGTTATGTTAAAAAAATATTCAAACACATCCAAATCAAATGTGATTTTTTTACCATTTTCAATTTGGTTTGGTTCAATTAATGGTTTTCTATTTGCAAAATACAAACCGCAAACTGAATCGTACGATTAATTTAAAAAATTGTTCAAACACATCCAAATCAAATGTGATTTTTTACCATTTTCAATTTGGTTTGGTTCAATTAACGATTTTTGATTGGACCAATTAGGTTTTAGCATGTTGTGGAAGAATCATCTACAATTCCTATTGTCCTTGAGAATTAGGATTTTGTGAATAATTACCTTAATCTTAAAATCTACAAACAGAACTTCATGCCATCAACATATAGATATCTCTATTGTTATAGATAAGGACTTCAATGACTCAATTTGTAACGCATATTTCTCCTTTGCATCAACCTTCTAAGGACTCACAAATAATCACCACAAATTTGATGTTTTGATTCAACACATCAAAGACAAATTACGATGAACACTTGCTTCATAATCACTCACACCCTCCAAAAAGGCAATCAATGTGCAAACTTCTCGACCAAGCTTGACGCCACTTGTAATCAGGACCTCCATATTCACTTCTCTTCACCAAATCTTAATCTCATTCTTGCGACATACAAAACCCTAAGATCATGCTAGCAAATCTAAGAGTTTGTTCAACTTTTTATCAACACTAAAACAAACATTACAAGAAACACAATCGAGTCCTCATCTGATATGGAGGCAGCAAAGGCATGTAGCAGAGGGGAGTAGAGAGGATGAAGACTATATGCAAAACAAGAACTTATCAAAACCTCTAAATTACACCAAAACACAATGAACAATTCTTGAAGGTCAGAACATGACAATGATTAAGGATTTTGGATCTCTGATTTTCAGAGTAAAGACGAGATGAAGCAACAGGTGTGACACTATGCTACAAAAGGCATTTCTTATGTATCAAAAACAAAATTAGCAAATACCACAACAATATATAAAAAAACTATCAAAGTAAGGCCAATCTAATAATAAATAATTCGAATAAAGTATATTCATTGTGTTTCTTCCTTGGACATTCTTTCTAACCGCGAAGTTGCAGCCTCTTTCTCTCAAACTCAAGCTACAAATAAGGAAAAAGAAAAATGAACAGTTTTCGTGAGTTCTCATTTGGCTGTTCTATTTTTAAGTAGTAATGAATCATAATGCCACAAAGACGAGCAATACCATGCACATTTTTACACACCATACATATTTAAGACTAACAAATATCGAAAGAAAAATGTTTACCACTTTCTTGACTCGGTCATTTGCAGCAGGAGTACCACCAATCACACATTCAGAGTGATAAGGACTGCTGACACGCACCTCATTCATTACAACTATGACGGTCTTGTCCCAGTGGACAGGAAGCCTGGTTACATGTAAATGTCATCAGTTAACAAAATAACTAATATGAAGTACGAAACAAGTAGTTCATGAATCAAGTTCATATTGATCAAGACAAATATAAAACAGGTAGAAAGTTTACGACTCCATGGAAAAACGCACCCAAAAAATTTGTGCCACAAAAGAAAGAGGTTAATGTTAGAACACAAATAAAAGATCAATTAAAGGATTGTTTTGCATCGATGAAATTTCTTTATAAATGAATTAGACAATCTTAACATTCATGATAAAAAATAAGAAAGTTGAATTTACAAATGGCAATTCTAATATAAGTTATACAACTGCACGGGTAAAAGTTGACAAACTAAAAGCTCGATTACTCAATTAATTGACTTGCACAAGTTACAGATAATGATTGAAGCGTAGATTAACATTACAACTTGAAATTTTTTAGAAAAGGAACCTTCTAGAAAACAAAGGTATACGAATTTTCTAGTATCCATGTTATCTATTATGATATCCCACATTAAGCATATGCAACAAAGATAAATCAGATAAGTTTCTTTTTCTCTTTAGACCAACAAAACAGAAGTTCCCCTGAAACTCACATTTTGTTTGGACATCCTTTCATCACATTACTCAATCGATATGGTGTTGGGAATTGGGAACACTTGGAACATTCAAACATAACAATAACAAAAGTATGTGCAAAGTTTTACAACCAAAGGGATATTGTCTTCGTCTAAATCGAAAGCTCGATAGTCACCCTAAATAATGCATGCCAGAGAGTAAACTAGGAATAATGGAAAATCAAGATAGAAATCTACTCATTAGAATTCTGCATCAGAAACAAGAAGCTTATAATATTAATATGAACAAGTTTGGATAAACATTTCCACAAGCTCTTATATAGATCATAGAATATACCATTCAACTATTTATAGGAGAGATTCCCCAAGATTCCACCCAACTCCACCAAAATAGGATTATGTATACTCTTAATTGTTGAGGGCAAGTATAATCACAAGATCATGGGTTTTACGATTCAAATCGGGGTTTTAACTACCATGACAACACTCTATACTATCTAAAGTATTGCTTCCGCCACGCCATAGCACCGCTTTATGATAATAACACTACTTTTATAGAAATTGACTACAGCTCTAAGATACCATACTCTATACTCAAAATTAGACATGATAAGTCTTCTGGGCCGTTCGCAATTGTTTTGGATTGTTCGCAAGGCCCATACAAAAGTCCCAAGAGCAAACATTAAGCAAAAGAGCGTATGAAGGTGCTCCCTCGTTCCACCAAAGGCAGATGATTCCGCCCTCCAAACGCGTCGATCACTATCTGACTAGATCAAATGGCCGCCCGCACAATACGCTTCCTCTCACGCTGAATGTTTTAGCCGCTCACACTATATATTAAAGAAAGTGTGTCATTCAAATCTATCTCACTCTCACATTACTTCTTATTCTCTCACTGATTTAGGCGTTGAAGTGCTACCCTTACAAGTCAGCCCCTCTCCGCCACACCAGAAACATACTCCATCGATCCAAAATCCCGTCTCGTCCTCTCACCGAACATGGTTGGAGTAAGAATAACAATGAGTATGCTTTGATCCATACATACTAATTGAGTTAATTTGAAACAGAACTTACGTTTTAGACAAAGCATCAAAGATAATCTGTGCCTCACTAGAAACACCAACCCCAATTCTCTCAGCTTCTGCCTCTGCTTGCCTACAACCCAAAACAAAAAATCACAAACCAACACCATAAAAGAAAAATCATTTCAAAAAAAGAAGAAAAAAAAATTGAAAAGAATTAAGAATACCTAATAGCAAGTAGTTCCCTTGATTGAAGAGTATGAAGATCAAGATGAGAATCAATTGGAAGTGGGTCGTGACCTTGACCTAAAAAGGTGAAATCTTTGATATAATCAGCACTCAAAATCCTAATGTTGCGAAGAGGGCCGTGTTTGGAACCTTCCAGGAGTCCGAGGAAGTTGGTTGCTCGATCAAAGGTAACAACTTGACCTTCAAACTCGTCGCCTAAGGTTGTTCGGATCGACAGGAAACAACCAACCGCAAATTCATCTGCGTTGTTGTTGGTGATGCTGCTTCCACTTTCAATCGACATTTGGGTTGTTTTGAGCTGCTGCTGGGAGGTGAAATTCTGTGATGTGATGTTTGTTTTTCAAATATTATTTCTTATTGGGAACTACTATTAGTACGTTATCATAATTTTTGGTCTTGTAACAAAAACAACCTTTTGGATTTGGATCCATGTTTAATTGTTTATCCATTAGGCTAGTTTTAAATCTAAAACCCCTATATAGTGACGTCATTATCTTTATGTTTTCATTAAAAAAAATGGAATTTTTTATTGTGTTTATCGAGAAAATTTTGAAAAATATCAACAAAAAAAAATGAAATTTTGATAAAAAAAAATGAATATTTTTTAAAAACATTTGAAAAAATATCAGAATTTTTTAAAAAAATTTGAAATCTTTTTATATTATCAAAAATTTTGAAATTTCTGATAAACTACAACACTTTTTTTTTAAGATTTCTGATAGTGTTAAAATTATTATTTTTTATTTATTGAATATGAACTACCAAAATTTTATAAGATCCGGAAAAATAAGGCAATATCGAATTTTTTGAAAAATCCAATATGTTAATATTTTTTTCAAAAAAAAAAACGATAAAAAATCATACTTAAAATTTAAAAATAAAATACCGAAAGTTTGGTCTATTATCGAAAATTTCGTTTACATGTTTTATTTAAAGTTGTCCATGAATAGTTTAGGAATTATAAAAATACGTGGGTATCAAGTACAACTGTGGGGTGACAAGTTAAAACCTCTAATTTTAAAGTTTTTTGAGAAAAATAAACAAAAATAATGAGAAATGTTCTTTCTGTCTTTCGGCTGTGTCCCACATTTCTAGAAATCCAAGAATACCTTTCATGTGTTCGAAGACATATTTCCAAATTCACCTAAAATCACATTTGTCTCCGCCTTTCTTAGATCCACTATATTTTTAACAAAATATGGTTCGGAGATGTATCCCCATATATTATTTTAATTGAATCAGTGATGCATCTCCGAAATACCCTATATACTCATTTATAATGTTTTTATTTGCTGAGATGATTTAATTAACAACTCGGTGATGTTTCCGAAGATGCATATCCAAAAATGTCAAGCGGAAAATTTGATAAAACACTATCGTGCATGATCTTCTTCTTCGTACTGAAACTAAACTTCATTTCAAAACCTTTAAAAAAAATATTGTTGTAAGTATCACTGATGAATTCAGTTGCAACGGTGTTTCCTACACCGTATGCATTACTTCACAAGTATCACATAACCAAAAATGTGAGAAGTTGACTAAAACCTACAATTTAAACCAAACAAATCAAGGTGAAGATGAAAAAATGGTCAAACCAGGTATTGGGGTGGAAAAGATAATGGATGAATGAAATGGTATAATAAATTCTTCCACGAAAGAATTGTATGTTAAATATGTAATACGTTTCAGGAGGGTGTGTGGGAGATATCCAAATTTCCTTAAATATGTCGAGGGCAATATTTTGGATCAAGTGAAAGAGAAAATTGTTTGTTCCTAGTTCGATCAGGTTAGACACTTTAAAAATACAACGACTAACAGAGTTGAATCTACACATGTTACACTAAAGAATTGGTTGGAAACTAGTAAAGGTGATTTTTGTCGAGATTGCGACGTCGTGAACCAAATGCTCCAAAACCAACATAATGAGATACATACATCATTTTATCAAAGAATTATGTGTTAGAACACTGATTCAAAGACAATATCATTTATTCATAGTTGGTTGACAACATATCTCGAGCGACATTGAATTTTATTTTTCACGAAGTCAAACGAGTAGATAAAACAGGTTCAGATAGCTCAAAGTGTGGTTGTACACTTAGGAAGACGTACAGTCTTCCACGTGGTTGTTTAATTTCAAAAAAGATGAAGTTTGATAACCCAATATGTATGGATGAAGTTTACATTCGCTAGAAAAAATTCTGGTTTGATGATGATGGTGTGATGAAGAATGATAAATCAAGTACAATTATTATGACCCAATGGGAATTAATCTAAGAGAGATTTTTGAAAACGGATGACATCGTGAAGTTTCACATCAAAGAGCAACTGAGGAAGATTGCCTATCCGGAAACAACAAATTTGAAACCATCGTCGGAACTTGTTAAAAATAAAAGATGCCCATAAAAAGGTCAAACTGACACATGGTGACAACTCTACGAGACGTTCTCCTTTGAACATGTCGACTGACATTTTCCGGATTCTCCAACTCCAAAATCTCAAAAAGGTATTTTTAAAGGTGCTTGCATTAGCAAACTATATCTGTTAGCTCCATAATTCTATGATATAGAATTGTTCATGGTTCTATGATTGGCTAAATTTTGGTAAAACATGATTCTGCACTGATGTTAAGCAGGATCTTATAACATCTCTATCTGCTGTGGTGACAGAACTGATGTGGAGTGTTTTAATGTGAATGTCATGTGTTGTTAATCACAATGTCATGACATCGCTGTCTGGTGCAGCATGAGCTAGCAGGAGCAGATGACAGAATTGCGGTCATGTGTTTTAAACAGGATGTCATTACCAATGTCATGACATCGTTGTCTGGTGCAGTAGGAGCTGATGATCGTGTCTGGTGCAGCAGGAGCAGATGACAGAACTGTTGTCATATGTTTTAAACAGGATGTCATTACCAATGTCATGACATCGTTGTCTGGTGCAGCAGGAGCTGATGATAGAACTGCTGCCATGGATGTCATACTGAATGTCATGACATCGCCGTCTGGTACAGCAGGTGCTGCTGTTTTATCACTTGAAAGAAGTGCTTTGGATATACCTCAACAGTATGTGCAGGCCAAAGTGATTCATTAGGAACAAAGTGCAGATTTAATTGGTGTTCATAAAAAGGATCTTTGAGACATTTTAGGAAACTATAATATGCTTGTTTCTACTGTTGTGAAGAAGATTTTGCAGGAGTGTTCAACAGGGGGAGTTTGGTCAGCTAAGAGTCAAGTAAGTTGGATGTCATGATTGGATGCTGTAACATTGATCGTATGACATCAGGCGCCCAATTTTAGTTTTCTGGTATTTTACCTGAGATATCTCAGGCTAGAATTCAAGAAACCTATTATGGCTCCTTAGTTATCTCAGGCGAGATTCTAGTAAGGGCTGGACATAACATAAAGCAGCTGTGACCTAATTTGACATCACCTTGAATTATGGAAAGTGGTTTAACTTGGTTAAACCTAAAGTTTGTTACTCGTGACCAGCCCAAGCCCAGTCTGCATTGCTATTTAAGGAGGAGCAGAAGCAAGGGAAATTAAGCACTCACAACAAGAAAAACTTGAGTGTAGAATTAAGGTCTAGGGTTTTGAGAGTCCATTGTGTGTGACCTAGTAAGTCACCCTTTGTATCTTTGGATGCATAGTGGTAGACATGTTTAGGCTGTTGTTAGGACAATGCTAATTTTTCACTCAAAGCTTTTAAGCAAGAGTGTTTTGTGAGTGAATAGTGTTGTTCTTCACGTGTGTCTAGGAGTCTTAGGATTCCTTGTGTGCCAAGCAATTGTATGATGTATAATTGCTTTGGTTATTGTGTATGAACAAGTGTGTTCATTGTGTCACTCAAAGCTTTTAAACAAGAGTGTGTGTCTCTTGATCAAAGCTATGAAGCAAGATCAAGGTGTGTTTAAAGAGTGTCTTCATATTGTAATTGTGAATTATTTATTGTAACACCCATTTTTAATTATTTAGTCTTTTGGTGTTATTTTATTTTGGTGTGTCCTTTGTGGGGGGAGTGTATCGGAGCGCGAGGGTGGGTGTCCTTGAGTTATAGGAGTTATTTAATAAAATGTAGAGTTAATAATAATATAATATAATCAATAATGATGATAATCTAATAATTAGTAATATTATTATTATTATTAGTATTATTATTATTACGAATACCATTATTATTATTTGTATTATATCATTAATAAAATAAGGATTAAAGGGGTATTAGAAGAGGTTGAGGGAAAGGAGAGAGTTAGAACACGATAAGTCAGCTTCAGAGAGAAGAGGAAAGAGGAAGAACAAGGAGGAAGAGAAGAAGGTTAGGGCTAACATTTCTTCAGAGTTCTTCATTAATCGGAGCATTAATCGAGGTAAGGGGGGAGAAACGGGTTAAGATTGGTAAATTGCATGAATAGTGTAACAGCCCAAATTTCATTAAATAATTAATTGTAGTAATTAATTTATTTAGTGGGATTTTATTAATGTTGGAAATTAATTTTTATTAATTGGTATGGATAGAAAATTAAGAAGGAATTGGAGAGGAAGGAAAATAAAGGAATATATAAGAGAGAAAGAAAAGAAAAGAAAGATAGAAAAACATTTTGGAAAGAAAAAGGAAAGAAGAAGAAAGGAGAGAAAGAGAAGAGAAGAAGAAGAAAGGTGGAAATCATCAAGAACCAACATTAAAACTCCGATTAATCGAGGTAAGGGTGAGAAATGTTTCTATTTGATCATTGTATGATGTTATGTATGTTGGGTTAGGGTTTTAGTAGAGTTTCCATCACTTTCCATTTAGGGCAAAATGTTGGATAATCGGTAGATTGATGATTTAATCGGTTGAAATCGAGTAATAATGCCGTAGAATATTCGGGTAACATGTATTGATGCTGTTTATACTGATTTGGATGTGTAAGAGAGGGTTGATGATGGATTGGTGAAGGAGGGACAGAATAGGATTCTGTTCTGCGCAGGTTCGCTGGCTCTCGCCAGGCGAGCAAAGGCGAAGCTTCGCCAGGCGAAGCTTAGCGAATGTTGGCGAATAATTATATTTAAGTCCCAGTAGACTTCGCTGGTGGGTTCGCCAGGCGAAGTGGGATAGCGAAGGTTCGCCCAGCGAAGGTGCTGGCGAATGGTGGCGAATGAAGTCAGTAGCTACTGACTTGGGCTCGCTGGGAAGTCTCGCCAGGCGAAGCCTAGCGAGTGTTCGCTGAGAGAGTTCGCCAGGCGAAGGTTCGCTGCGAGGGTTCGCCAGGCGAATGAAGGTGAATGTGACAGTATATTTTCCTTG